AGGAGTAGGCTTTGCATAGGGATTACTGGGTTTAGGAGGGTTGGAAAGGTTACCTCGAGTATGTCCTCCTGTAATAGCCTTACCGGCGTTAACTGTACTTGCCGGGTGAGAAGGCTGAACTGTCGGGCATCACATCAGATCGTGACACAAGGTTCCTAAGTCACTTTTGGATGACCCTGTGGAGGTTATTTGACTCATCACTAAATTTCAGTAGCACAACCCATCTGCAGACAGACGAACAGACAGAAGTGGTAAACCGGACCCTTGGTAATTTAATTCGCAGTATATGTCCGAAGAGGCCAAAACAGTGGGATTTCGCCATAGCCCAAGCTGAGTTCGCCTATAATAATGCAGTGCACAGTTCTACAGGTAGATCTCCATTCTCCATCATGTACATGAAGGTTCCTAATCATGCGTTGGATTTAGTGAAGCTGCCCAGAATACCTGGTGCCAGTACCTCCGCAGAACAGATGGCCGACCAGATCCAGTCCGTCCAAGAATCCGTGAAGCGGACGCTAGAGCAAACCAACGCCAAGTACAAGTTGGTAGTAGACAAGCACCGTCGGCCCCAAGTATTTGATGTCGGTGACGAAGTTATGGTTTTCTTAAGGAAGGAAAGGGTTCCCGTGGGAAAATACAACAAGTTGCAGCCTCGGAAGTACGGTCCATACAAGATCGTGAAGAAAATCAACGACAATGCATATGTCGTGGACCTACCAGATCATATGGGTATCTCCAAGACCTTCAATGTTGCTGACCTTCACTGCTACCTGCCAGAGATGACACTTGCCTATCCTAGTCACGACTCGGGGTCAAGCTCTTTCCAAGTGGGGGAGAATGATGGAGGCCCATCCCAAGGCCCATCTCACCATTATGGGCGACAGCTCATAGGATAAGGATAAGAGTCCAAGACAAGTCAAGAAAGGATAATTCAAGATCCATCAAGACTTAATCCAAGACTCCAAGACTTATCAAAAATTCCAGACTTCAAGAATCATCAAGAATTCTAGAGTCAAGATAACCAAGATTTCCAAGACTTCCAAGATTCATGCATAGGTGAGTTCCTGGGAGATCGGACGGTGGAAGATCAAGCCCAAAAATGTTCGATCTTATCAAGATCAAGATCAAGAATAGTCCAAGATTCATGCAGATTAGGATCTATCACAACTCTCTTTCCTAGTTCTTTTACAATTTCCAGATGTATTATAAATACTACTATTTTCCAGTTAATAGACATCAATTCAGATTTCAATTTTCGCCACATTTTCTCTCTCCTCTAGAGAATTTGGTTTTCTTCGCTAGAAGCTAGCGATTGCCCGGTGCTTGCATAGCCAGCTCCGGTTTTCCATTGCTTCCACGCTGCGTCACATTTGCATGAGGAATCTGAACCACTTAGAAGAAGTGATGCTGATCCAGGTCTAGAATCACCAAGCATTGCAAACAAAGGGAATGGGTCTACTTATGAAAAGAGATTAAAGGAGTATCCTTCAGAGTCCTCAATGAAAACTCCACTGGAAAAATTGACTAGTGGAATTGGGTATATTTATTCATCATCAGAAGACGATTGTCTGTCCAACGTGCCTCGAGGGTATGCCTGCAATCTCTCTTTTTTCTTTCATTTTTACTTTCTTTTCTTTTTCCTTTGCCCCCATTTTCTTTTATGGAGCTAAGTCAGACATCCTACACTAGTTGGGAATGGAGTTATTTTCATTGTTTCTGTTCAGTTTGTAATTAACATATGAGAATTTTTGTGTTACTTAGGAAGTTTTCATGCCTTTATGATACCAGGAAGTAGATAATTTTGGTAGGGATTTGCATTATACTTTTGTGTACTTATGGAAGTGATAGCTTCGAGTTTATGTGGTTAGGCCTTTACTGCCCCTGTTTATTTATTTATGTTTTTCTTTTCAGAATATACTCTAGAAAACCCCAAGATAATTACCCATTGCTTCCACCATTTTCACCTTGGTTGTATATATAAATGCATTCTCATGCTAGGAAGCAAGATAGAACAAATTTTATTTTCTATTTTTTATTTTTTTGGAGTTTCTAATAAAATTTTCTGCATTTTTATTTTTTATAATTTATTAATTAATATATTATTCTTTTATATTTTTTTAATGGTCTGTTATGTTTTATATTTGTTTAATGGTGGGATTAGCTGGAACACCATTTGGTAGCAAGACACAGTTGTATTTGCATTGATGAAAATGCCAAACATCCACAAAAATTGTATTCTTATTTGCATCTTTCAAAACAAATGAGTTGAATGCAAAGTGGGTATGTAAATCTTGAACCACATTGCATTCACATGAATCAAACATTTTTGTTTTGCACTCTACAAATTTGTATTCGTACTCCTTCCAAATGCAGCCTACAGGTCAGTTCCCCGACCAGATAAATAATACAAATTTTGTGTTCATCCCTAAATAGAAAGCTCCTGAAAGTCCATGCCATTATCGTCCTATAAGCTTATGTAATGTTTTATAAGTAGATGGTTCAAAGAACGCAGCCTCTCCTCTAGATTGTTATCTCTCAGAATCAATTAGGTTTTCTGAAAAATTGATTGTGTACGAATAACATTATATTAGCCAGGGAAATGATACACCAAATGAGAAAGCAAAAAAAAAAAAAGGTAAGGGTTAGCTCACCTTGAAATTAGATAAGACCAAGGCTTTCCATCGTATGGGCTGGGAATTCATTAAGTATTGAGAAGAATGAATTTCCCTAACAAGTGGATTGCCATGGTAGCTCGATGTATGGAAACTCCAATCTTCTCGATCAAGTTGGGAGAGGAAGCTATGGGTCACTTCAAACTTAAAAGAGAAATACGACAAGGAGATCCTCTGTCTCCTTGCTTATTTAGAATTGGAATGGAAGCTCTTACCCAATTGCTGAATAAAGAAGTTGCTGCTGGACATATTGAGGGATTCAAATTTGGTAAGCTCTCACAGCCAATAAGTCACTTATTATTTGTTGATGATTGTAGTCTATTTAGTCGAGTAGAATTGAGACAAGTAAAGAGCCTCAAAGATATAATCATGGAGTTTGAACAAATCTCTGGACAAAAGGTAAATTTCACAAAATCAAGCATTGCTTTCAGTAAAAATGTGCACAGACAACAACAAAAATTTCTCTCTAAAGTGGTTGGTGTTCAATACTCCAAGGATATAGGCACTTACTTGGGTGCGAAGTTATGACTTTCTAAAAATGTCTCATCTGACCATAAAAATTTGGTTGAAAGAATTCAAGCAATAACAGACACTTAGAGAACCAAATTGCTTTCTCAGGTAGCCCGTACTACAATTACAAAGGCAGTTGCACAAGCTGTTCCTCTCTACACTATGACCACCACAATACTTCTTAAGACAATAACCACTACAATCGACAAAATTCAAAGAAGCTTTTGGTGGCAAGGATCATCCATTGGCAACACTCTACACATACTCTCATGGTTCAAATTTTGTTTGCCAAAATCAAGAGGTGGTCTGGGCTTCTATGATACTCATTTGGTGAATAAGGCAATGTTTGGTAAACAAATATGGAGATTACTCTCCAATCCTAATTCTCTTTGGGTAAGTAATATAAAAATTAAGTACTTCTCTCACACTAGCCCATTTAAAACCAAGCATAGTAGTCAGGTATCACCATGGTAGAGGCAGGTTCAAAAGTTACTTAAGGACATTCAAGCTGACCTTTTGTGGTTAGTTCAAGATGGTACTCGTGTAGATGCTTATTTTGATCCTTGGGTCCCAATCATCAAAAGAGGCATTCCTTCCACCTTGCATCCATGGGTTACGAGTAATATCAAAGTAAGTCATTTTCTTAACTCCAATGGAACATGGAGTCTTTCTGTATTTCAAAATTCATTTTCCCAGGATTCAATTGGTCATATTATACAAATGACACCATCCACAAATGTTGACAAGCTAATTTAGAAGAGAAGTAAGTTGGGTACTTATACCGTGAAATCTGCATACCAGACTTTTATCAATCAAAATCAATCTTCCTTTGCCTCTTCATTTAAATGGTGATTAATTTGGCAAACCAAAGTGCCCTTCAAATACCAAGTGTTTGCATGAAAGGCTCTATGGGTAGGAATCCCCACAAGAAGTAAGTTGAGACCATGGAATAGAAATGTAGACGTATAATGCATTTTTTGCAATCATTAAGACGTGAGCTTTTCACATATATTTTTCAAATGTGGCTTTGCAAGAGCTGTTTGGTGTCAAGCCCAACATAGTATAAACCCCAGTATAGTGAATGGTGAACACCTACAGCAACTTATTTCGGATCGACTTCAATCACTTGGGCAATCTTTTAATGCAGATACCAGATTATACTTTCTGTCCAAACTTCAGGTACTCCTATATATGACCTGGAAGGCACGCAACAAGAAGTTTTATCTAAACAATGATGTGAATCCCGTTTCTTTGGTGGAAATGAAATAATTGTTGATTCATGTCTCACTCTCTGTCAAGACAAGTTAAACGCATTGTCCCTAAGCCCAAAACTGAGAACCATTATTTAGTATTCATTGATGGATTTATGATCAACATGCAGCAACGCAGGCATTGGTTTTGTCATCAAGAAATTTGATGATAGGTAGATCGTTGCAGCCCAAGGGTCAGCCTGCAGAGCCATTGACAGTTATGATGCGAAGCTTCGTGCAGTCATCAAGGGTTTAGAAGCTGCTATAGCGTTGCAATGCCAATCAGTGCGAGTTTTCTTGGATTCTGAAATAATAGTAAAAAAGTTAAACCTTTTAGTAATGGAACGTACATGGATTGATCAAATGCATTTTGGATGGATCTTGCATCTCCAAAGTCAGTTTAGGGATTTAAAGTTCATTTACATATCTAGAACTAAGAACACTTTAGCTCATCTTTTAGCTTATTATGCTTGTAAATATCAAAGGCACTCTGTTATGGACATGTTACCTTGTACAACTTTACTAAATATAATTTAATCACCACTCTTTTGCTTGGAAAAAAAAAAGATTGCTATGAAAACATATTCTGCCAAATCCATTTCACGGAATACTGAACACAGTAAAAGCCCAAAACTAAAGCTTCTATTTTGAGGCTTTTAAAAACATAAAAGCAGCAGAAGTCATCCGAAAACAGCTTGTATAGTTGTATGCTGTTTTTTCGTCCCTGTTCTTTCTACTGCTATGAAGCTATCCTTTCTTAATTTCTACTAAACACAAAATAATTTCCATATTTCAACGTATTGTTCTCCTTCAATAACACTTCGATCATTCGCAAATTCAACTGTATCTGAAAATTAAGAAAAGCCGTCTTTGTGTACCCCTGATCCTGTGGCATAAAACTACCTTGGGTCTAATTCTGTATTCGTCACATCATTGATAGACCCTGGTATTGATCTACTTGTAGATCGATCTGATTCAGTTGGCTGTTCTTCAGTATTTGTCTCCATTCTGCTGTATCCCAAAAATGCTGGTTGCTGAGGCGGTTCAAGAGTGACAGAATAACTATTCAGCATGAGAACTACTGTTGCCATGGTGGGTCTCTGAGCTACATCATCCTGAACACACAATAACCCAATATGAATGCATCTCCTCACTTCTTCTCTTGAATAGAACTTACTTAAAATTGGGTCCAGCAAATCCAAAGCGTTTCCTTCGTTCCAATTTCTCCAGGCCTACAACAGTTCATCAATATGTAACTAGTCAGTTTAATTCTTTCTATTGTAAATAACAACAATCTATTATCAAAGCAAGGAAAATAGATGTACTTGAAATTAAGGATTCACACTTACAAAACTTAGAAGATCCTCTGAAAACTCTGATTGATTGAAAGAGCTATTCTTCTTTCCCGTTATAATCTCTAAAAGTAAAACACCAAAGCTAAAGACATCTGACTTGACGGAGAACAGTCCATGGATCACATATTCCGGAGGCATATAACCACTGTAAGAAATTATCAACAGGAATACCAATTAAGTGATCATGACAGTGGAGAACCCTCTGAGGTTCCATGTAACTAGTTATGTTTTATTCATACTTAATTTGAATAAATAATTTCTAGCTTAAACAGTGACTGGCATTTCTTAATCTGACTGGTCTGAACTTAATCTGGTTGAGATCATTAGAACACAAAGGATTCAACAGTGAAGGCTTACAATGTTCCAACTACTCTGCTTGTATTGGCTTGAGTTTGATCCACGCCAAAAATTCTTGCCATCCCAAAATCAGATATTTTGGGGTTCATATTACCATCTAACAGGATGTTGCTAGCTTTAAGATCGCGATGAATAATCTTGAGTCGAGAATCTTCATGAAGATAAAGAAGCCCTCGAGCAATGCCTCCTATAATCTTATAACGTGTTGGCCAATCCAAACGAGCACCTTCATCTGGATCTATACATTTATCCAAAACAAGCTAGAAATTTAGGATGCAGAATTTGAATGGATAATATGAACAATTGAATTACCACTGTTCCAAATGTTTAAATCTCTTGAAGGAAATTATAAAATGCAAAGATTAGGCCATATTATTTTCCACAATCCACCCAGCATTACGGAACAGAACAGCAGTAGGTCAAGAAGCGTGAATGGGGGTTGTGTGAGGATTAAAGAACAAACCGAATAGAAAGTAATCGAGGCTTTTGTTGGGGACGAATTCATAGATAAGTATCTTCTCTTCTCCTTCTAAGCAAAATCCCAAGAGCCTAACAAGATTCCTGTGTTCAAGCTTTGCAACCAATACAACCTCATTCTTGAATTCTTTTGCACCTTGTCCAGAGCTTCTAGATAGCCTTTTCACAGCAATTTCTTGTCCATTAGAAAGTTTACCCTGGCAATGTAATTCATCATAAATAGCTATCAACCTGTTAAGTTATCCTAATTTCGTTAATAAGCCAAGGAAATTTCCAAGAAGTTTGACTTTACAATAAAATTATACTTCATAATCTGAATGTTAGGTGTGTTTGGTTCTTTGGGATTTATTGCCACATAGATATTGGCATTTATTGCCTATGAAACAATATGAGACAACTGTTTGGTTTTACCTTTTATCAAATAAATGGTAGAAAACTTAAAGGCTTTGACTTTTGTGCATGGGGCATTTGGAGAAATGTAAAATTCTTATTTCCTCCAATGCCCCAGCATTTCTTGAAACCAAATGCTGATATGGCACATTTTAATGGGTATTAATCTGAGGTGAAAAATAAAAAAAATATTTAAGTGATGCCCAATTAAACAGTAAAAACAGGAAGCATTTAAAGTGAAAAAATACAAATAAATGGCCCATCCATAAACGCCCACAGAACCAAACACATACTTAAATCTCTAAATATGTTTAAATCTCCTTACCTTGTAAACACAACCAAATCCACCTTGACCAATTTTGTTGTCATCAGAGAAGTTATTTGTAGCTGCTATGACTGTACTCAAATTAAATTGCAATGACTCCGCATTTGTAATATCATTCTCATCTACACCAATATGAAGAGGAAAATGAGTAAAATTTTAAAATAAATTTTGTAATTATTGAACATAGGTAATGAGGTTTTACGAAGCAAATGAAGTAACAGATGTCCATGGAGCTACGATTATGCTTATCTAGACTGAAGTATTGAGACTTGAATGATGAATGAAGATTTCGTAAAGGAATAGCTCTTACCAGTACCACTGATCAATTTCTCTTTCTTCTTAGTCAGCCAACACCAACTGAGAATTGATAAGAGCAACACTGCAATAGCAACTGAAACAGCAATAGCAATAATAGTTCCAGCTGATATCTTTTTCCGTTTTGCTGCATTGAGAGGGAAAGGGAAAAATTCAGAAGAGGAAAATTTGTCGATGATTGATTATTCAGTCTTCAATATGAGCAAAAGACCAAGATATTAATACCAAGCGATTACATTTTAATATCACTGTCCGTAGTATTCAATAATACAGGCTTGGAAAGAACATTTATTGAATCTCAATAGCCGTTCACGAATGATTCTGCAGGGATACGAAGAAAATAACAATAGTCTCGAAGTCGACACTCTCTTTTTTTTTATGTTGAAGAAGTGGGCAACCCTATACTCAACTTCTTTGGTCGATTTGGAATGGTAGGAGACAGTATCACTCCCCTGTTTTGGGATGCTGTAACTGGTTTATGCAATTAAAAGAACCACTGAACTCTTAGTTGCTGATAAACGTAGACAGCCAATTTTTTTTCCGAGAGAGGTATCTACCTACTGAGAATTAAATGTTTAAGTGTCAAGATTTAATACAGATTTCACTCTTGGATCGCTAGAGCCTTTTAGTGGTCAAGTAGATCACGTCATGTACCCCTCCCCATCCCCCTCTCAATGTCTCTGAGAACTAACAATTGAACTTCTAGTGCTAAAATAGAGGCAAAATGCCAGAAACAGAGAGAAGAAAAACAATAGCAAAAAGCTAATTCAAGGAAAAAAAAAAGAAACAAAGGCGGGAAAATCTTACCGTTACCTGCCTCACTTCCTGTCGTATTATCCGTGATGTTAGAATTAGCTGGAGGAGGAGGAGCTGCTTCAGCTGGTGGTGGAGGAGGCGGTGGTGGCAGCGCCGATAAGTTGAAGTATGGATAAGTCTCAAATCTCACGTTACAACTCAAAGTAAATAAATGGGCTCCTATATGGCCATTACAACACGTAGAGATCCAGCTAATCATCTGCCGGAGACAAGTGTTGCAGCCAAGCTCCGTTAAATCCAGAGTACACTGCACCAAACCATATATAGTGCTGTGATAGGACAAGTTGGTGTTGATCGTCCCGATGGCAAACTTGGATGCCTTAGTGAGCGCCGTAGTTGAAAGACTGGTCAAGAGTTGGTCTAATTTGCTATTAAAAACCTCCATATCGGATGCGTTGTTGACATTATAACCACCTCCACGTTGAGTACTGATCTGGGAAAAGAAATTGAGATTGGAATAGCGTAAGAGGCAGTTATCGTAACGGACACCCGCGGCCTTCTTATTGGGGCATCTCTTGAGGAGTGTTATGCTAGAGGTGTCCAAGCAGCTATAGCAATCATCCATGGAAACATCGCCTCTGCACTGAACAAGTCCGTAGGCGGTGTCGGGGTTGTCGCCATAGCTTGTGTTGAAGAAGCCACTGCGGTAGCCGTTGGAAATGAGGGAAGGGAGGAGGTGGTTGACAAGATTTTTCTGGAATTGGCTGCCGGAGGTGTAATTAGCTGGGTCGGAACAGAAGGTTAAGTTCATGATGGGGCCTGGTTCTTGAGCTCCGGTGGGCATTAGAAAGAGTAGAAAAGTAAAGAAGATGAGTAGCCTCATGGCACATGATCCAATCAAAATCATACTTTCGAGGGCCGGCCGGGGATTCCTTGTCAGGCCGAGTTTCCGGTGGAGAGCCTTAGTAATTCGTACTTCAAAAGACAGAGCATTCGGGATGAAGACGAAGAATTAATCTCGTATTTGTTGTCAGTTAATCTTGGCTAACTCGGTCGTCTTAAAAGGATTTATTCGAGTCAATGAATCTCTCTTTACCATGGGGCTTAGTACTTGTAAAATTAGTCAGTGGAAAAGAGATATCCAATGATCGACTTCCCCTCTTATTAACCGTTTAAAACATTTTGGCATTCACTGCAATCCAATGACGTCTAACTAACACTTGTATGGGTAAAATATCTTATTCGCTTAACATTGAATTTGTTTTTGATGATAAGCTAATAAACTTCTAAGTCAGAAGAGGAAAAGAAACAGCCGCTAGTAATTTCAATATAAATTCCTTTTCCTTTTATTGTTATATGATAATATAAATTCTATATTCAAAGAATGCAAGAAAAACTCCAAATTGGTATTGCGGAAAAACCCAAGAAAATAGATTCGAATATTATTCAAAAATGAGAGTAAAATAGAGATGAAGAGAAATAAGCATAGAAAATACATAGATTTACATGGTTCAATTTATAGTCTATGTCCACGGGCAAAAGAGAGGAATAGAAATTCACTATGAAATTGGTAATGGAAAAGAAATACAAAGTTGTACCCTCATAGAAAATCCTAAGCCCCAAATACACACCCAAAGTCTCACTCATCTCTCACATGATTTAGACTTTATATACAAGAAAGAAAACCTCTGAAAATACATAACTCTTCGTATTCGGTTCAGACCTATAAGATGAATATGAATCAGATTCATACCGCTATGGGGACTACGATCCCATACCCTGTTGGCCTTCAAGTTTTTCTCAAAATAATTTAGAACGAATTCATAAAACTGATTGCCATAAAGAATATAAAAGCCACAAACATAACAATTGATTTGCTAGTTTTTTAGAGCAATACAAGAGAGCATATATGCTTATTCAAGTAATATACAATGAATGTATGATAGCCTTTATTTAGCCTCATTGATTTACACACCGGGGCGAAGGCCTGTTAGGTCTTCATCCTTTTTAGATTTGTGACCCTTTTCTTTTTTTTTTTTGGACAAAAATGAACTCATGATCAAAAGTGTAGCAGTTTCTACTTTGAAGTAGTATCCCGTTTAGCATCAAGTCTCTCTGCTTCCTAATTGAAAGTCATCATCCATAGGGCTGTTCATAAACTGACCCAACCCGACCAAATCGATTAACCCGGACCGATCCAACCTAAGTCGGCCGGGTTTTCTTCAACACCAGTCAGTTTTGGGTTATAAAAAATCATAAACTGATTTTCATGTGTGAAAACCAAAACCAACCCGAACGGAACCAATTTAGTAATTAGTTCCTAGTTAGTAGTTACACTATATATCTCTCATCTCTATAGTGTAAGTGGACACTAGTTGGCAAATAGTACTCTCAAACTCTACTCCCTCCACAACTGGATCCATGGATGGGCCATAAAACATTAAGGGAATGCTGGTTTCCTTTGGGAATGTAGAGTCAGAAATGAATACTTGAACAACAACTAAATCACCACTAAGTAGAGCCGAAACCAACCCAAATTGACCAAAACTAACTCAAACCGATCAGGTCGATTTTGCTTAACACAGGGTCAGTTTCAATTTTAATTTCAAATAACTCGACCAGGTCGAATCGATTGAAAAAACATCAATAAACCGACCCAACCCAACTTGTAAATAGTCCTAATCATCCATTTCAATTCATTGCTCAGAAATGGATGGGTCTTGCTGGTGACAGCTTACTCTTGTTTGGAAGGATAAACATTTAGACACGCTTATTATTGCTTGGAAGGATATCCAAGTAGTTTTGCAAAACATTATATATATAAATATTTTGATCAAACTATAGATTATATTTAAATAATTAATTAATCAAATTATTTAAACCTTCTATATAGTTTTTGACAGCTACTTTAACCTTATTTGTTCTGGCTTCACAGTCATCACATATAGCTAATCTCAATTCCAGTCAAAGACGGTCACAAGACTCCCCTTGTGACCCCCCTGAATACGCTAGTGAAAGAAATAAATTCAAGAGAGTACCATTTAGATCTCCCCTGTAGTTTCTGACAGCTGTTTATTGAATCTAATTGATTTCACAGCTGGTCTCACAACCATCGTTCAGCTAATCCGAATTCCCACTCGAGCCTTTTCAATAGTTAATATTTTCAAGTTTCTCCCTCCATGTTCGGTCTAACAAACTTCCCTTTCATTAGTTTGACATTGATGGAGGCAATAAAATTTTTGTCTTGGTGTTAAAGCGTATTATTTTCATGGCAAGCTAATCATTCAAGTTTTTCCTTTCTCCAGCCATATTGGGGCTATTAAGGCCATATTTGGTAGTGATTATGTTAAAAATAGATGCTTATTGAATAAGTATTTAAAAATAACTGTTTATTTGAATAAATACTTATTTGCATTTGGCATCCAAAAAAAAGTTTTTATTTCATATTAGGTGTTTGGTAGTCTTTTTCTTTAATAAGTACTTAAATAAGCATTTGTGACTATTTTGTCTTTTATTTTTTTCAAATTTTCAAAATATTCTCTTATGAAAGTACTTTTATTAAATTACTTCTATAAAAGTACTTTAATAATTACATTTTTATGAAAGTACTTTTATACAATTTAAGTAGGGATAATTTTATATGTGGTATTTTAAAATATAATTATGAATAATTTTAGAAGAATAAAATTGAACAAGTGTTTATTGCATAAGCACTTAAAAAAAACTGAAAATTTGGGCTTAGAAAAATAAGCCCTTATTTTTAAAATAAGCACTTATTTCAGGCTTATTTCCCAAATACCAATAAGTGCTTAATGGTGTTTTCTTGGCTCAAATAAACATTTATTTTTAAGCACTCCCAAACATGACCTAAGGTCAACTAATGGATGCATAATGCTTCCTCTACCTTTACCGTGGAATTCAAAATTCTGAGATTGGCGTATAGTGTAGTTATCCCATTCAAATATGAATATGATTTGGTTAGGACCACCAGGACTTCGGGAATCCCAATGGATGGATTTTCGGAGGGACGTGAAGATTATTTAAAAGAAAGGACAAGGCATCAGGCATTTCTTGCTGACCAAAATGTATGTATCAATTCTTTAGTTATTGGCACTGATTTGATTCAACAGAAAATCTATTCTAAATGATGAAGACGTTAGCGGTGGGAATACTGGAAATTGAAATAGCAAATCTCTTGTTGACTTAAAGTCTTTCACCCTATTGCCACGTCAAGGGGATATTACTTCTAGAAGAGCACACTGTTGACTAAAGTCTTTTATGGCCCAGACTGTTAAACTTGACCAAACCAAACTGAAACCCGCTGTTTAGTCTGATCTGGTCTGAAAAATTTAAAAATTTTTGTTTACAAATCCAGCTAGGTTTTCTGAATTTCAGAAACCAGATCAGACCAGTGTTTTCAATTGTCATTGATCAATGATCAGTGCATTCCGCCCAAGAATCGTTCAGGGAATTAGTTCTATTTTATCCTAATTAAACCTGGTTCTTGGTACAAAAATATTGACTTGATCAGCGACCTACTAACCTAGACAGTCGAACCATCAATCCATTCAACCTGGATAATAGTTTTTAGTCATTTTTTATTTTAATTATTTTTTTATTTTTTATTTTTTAAGTTAAAACGGACCATCCCATTCAAACTGGGTCAGATGAAAAATCAATTAAAACCTTGGTTCAGATATATAGTAAAATGAATTATACAACTCCTTACTTTATGCGATGTAAATCTAACAAGATTTGAAACCTGATTCATCATTAAACACCTGATCAAACAAAACAATTAAACAAACGTAGTGTCTAGACAAAACCCCCCAAAGAAAAAAGAATGAATTAAAACAAAATCTTATTAACTTCTCTCTCACTTTCTTACACTCAATTTGATATTTGAATTATATTTGTTTTCTATACAAGTATGCATGTTATTTAGGTTTTCTAATTGGGTTAAGCCCAATAAAATGGGACTATTCATATTAGAAATCGAAGCAAACTATAATTTCTGGTTTGGTATGAGATTCTCTCTAAGTGGATAGGGTCTAGGCCCAATCCTATGAGCTGATCCACATCAGAATTCGCCCCTTTTAATTGACTGATCAAATCAATCCAGTTCGAAATAGGCTTAAGGCCCAATTAAGGTTATGTACTCACTTAGTCTTCTAAACTGCTGCCCAGTTGGGTTTCCTTGTATGGCGTGAGACCCAAACATTGATCTACACATTTGCCACAAGGGTTCGGCCCAACCTTTGTTACATGGCCTGGCCGAATACACTGTTATGAACAGTGCACCCCATGAAAACCCATCTTATGGGCTCTATGGGCCCAACACTTACCCTAAGTGGTCCCTGGGCCAAGCCACCTTGTAACACCCAAGGGCTGTGGGCAGATGCAAGATTAGCCCATCAGGTATTATCCTCAATGGTCTTACACTTATCCTCTCAGTCCATAATGATCATACACTGCCC